CGTCTACATGGCATAAAGGCATATTCAGATTGTTTGGCCTTTAGCATTCAGTGATTTCTCATTTGTTTCTAGGGTGAGTAGGACTTGCTTGAATACCTGTATTTGGACAGAGAGGATGGACGTGGGGCTCTGAAATGATTCGAATGGCAGCGGTGCAGAGCTCCAATACTTTCCACTTAATAGAAGAAGGCATTAAGTTAGGCTGACATGCCTGTCGAATGCCGAAGTAACCTCCAGACATCGGGTAGTCACCTAAACAACATAACATGCCCATCCCGAGGAGGAAAGATGGCCAACAAAGTGACCGTCAGGCACAAAGGCAATCGAATGAACAAAGTACTACATAGCCGCTCTCTTTTTTGAGCTTAGTCTCCAAGGTATTCAATGACTTTAGAAGTCACTCATGAGCCAATCACACTAGTAAGTAGCTCCCGTGATAATGTGATGAGGGGATGTGCATTACACACTCACCAACCCACAGACGAGCTATAAACAACTGCAGAGACAGCCGTAAATCATATGAAGTTTCATATCGGATTTATCAATATTACATCCGTGTATAGATGTCGGAGGTGATATTACTCCGGATCTCTTTATATACAGAACTGTGCTTTGACACATCTTCCTTGTTAAAAAGGGAAGTAATTAATAGTTAATAGATTATGAGGCTCTGATTTCTACTCTCAGATTGACTGCTGCTCCAGATCCAGTCGATGCTACTGAGAAGGCCAAGTCCAATTCCTCAGTCTCATGGTAGGTGATAACTGGCGAGGAAGGCTTGTGGGTGTTTCCTTGAAGCACCGGATATGTTTTGACGGCTGACACGGGAGTTGTACCGAGAGAAGTGCCAACGAAGTTACTCAAAAGACAAGGTCAATGTAGCACTTCATGTATGTTACTATCAGATGTCCGGAGGTTATTTTTTTGCTTTCTGAGACTTCTCCATGTGGAAGAAAGCATCAAAATGAGTAGAATATATGCAATCAAAGAAAAAAGGTATAGATTCTTGGCATGGGCCAAAGAACAGTTTATACGCACGAGGGCAAAACAATTGCCAAAGTCACCACTAAATATAAAATGGTCACATAAGTAAATTATGCAACTTTGGTGTTCGAACTGAATCCCTTATTTTAAACTTTGAGTACCTGTGTTTGTAGTGCCCCAAGACTTCCCATAAAGTGGACAAAGGCAGTAAGTGAGGCTGGATTCATGTGTCCCAAGAGAACAGAGCAAATGTACCTGAGCATGGACAAATGCCAGCCCACGAGAACAAGGACCAGACAAATTCATAAGTGACCGTCGAACGCCAGGTAGTCACTTATACAAAGCATTACAGGGTTCATCCCAATTTAGTGACCTCTATCTAGTTGAAGACGTCGGGCTACAACACAAATTAGTAACGTTGCCTCCGATTCCATATTAAATTTGACGCATCCAAAAGCGATCTAGTGAGTAATTAAGTTCATAAAAAGCATTAACTTTTATGTTCGAATATGTAATAATTAAACTATATCTATAGTCGAGATGAAGAATGATATTCATGAACATTAATTTTTGGAATTTTGCAAAACAAGGAACACAAAAACCTTTGATAATGCAACAAAATTTAAAAAGATAATATCTGCTTTACAAGAATATTTTGCTCGACTTTAACAATAAGTGAAGTATAAATGTATTTGGGTTCTTTAAACTAATCAAGCTTATAGGTCTTGATGTGTGACATTTATTTAAAATACACGATGTCCTGTACGTTAGTGTTCATTTGGATATAATGTCAGATTCCAGTGCTCTTACCTACTTTTCGAGAGTGAAATTTTTAGAAGTATAACTAAAATTTTTGAGTGCTAATATGGCTGCACTTGCTACCTTGATTTTTCTTCTTACTATTTTATCTAGTGAACAAAGTTAATATCAGAATTTAGTAAACTATCCATGGAGTGACTGTCTGTTTAAAGGACCAAATATAGCTTCATTAGTTTTTAATTTGTAATAAGTACCCTTATTGTGAAAACTTACGCATATTACATGTTTTTAACTCAAAATTTAATGAGGAATGGAATTGAATTAATAATTGCATGATTGAGCTTTTATTTTGGTCGAAACTACAAACCTCTAACACGTAAATTTATACTGTCTCACTTTCTTGTTTTGAGAAGTTTACGAATTATGCTAGCAACTTTGAGTACTTAAACAAATTTATTGCATTTATCTTGCACTATTTTCGTCTTTCTTAAAAAAAGTTTTGCAATTTTTCCCACGCAAAACTTTTAAATTTTAGCCCAAAATAATTCTGAGGAAGGAGTTGCGCCACGTATGTTTTCTGCTTGACCTAATATATGTAACCTTTTACGCCCTTTTTTTGTGCCACGTCTGCAGTTATCACTACGCTTCAGTGACTTTAGAACCACTTGAATTTTGTTGTCAATGGAAGTCTTGCCTTCTACCAGCTCTAAAAGTAGTATATTAAAGTGGAAAAAGCTCATCGTTCTCTGCTATTTTCATGTTTATTTGTGCACCAGCAAGCCAATTCGCTAAAGAAACATACCCTGTTTTTGCCGACTTTGGTTAAATTTTTAGTTGCTGCTCCTAGAAATATGGATTTTGCAGGGCAGCAAAAATTTGTTATGCCAGTCCCCATCAACAGCATTTGAATTGAATTTTAATAATGTCTAAGTGCAGTTGTTAATAGAGGTCTCTTAAATTTCAATTGTCAATCGGCTTGATTTTGCTGAACCCTCATCAACACAAATCGTTCAGACAGCCTCCCCCTTAGGTCCACCAAGTCCAGCACAAGAGGTAAAAGAATCGTCTGAGACGGCTCCGCCTCCAGCCGCTTGCGTCGAACCATCGGGTTAGTCTTTATGTCCCTCCCTTTACCCACCTTCTCCAAATGCCAGCTTCTTTTCTTAATGCTGAAGGGCGAGTGGAAAGGTCAACACCGCCATCCTTTTAAAAAGGCGAATGCGCCTGATTAACGCTGTATTAATCTGAAAATCTCTGTGAATATCGCTAGAATATTGTGCTAGCAAGCAAAGGAATTGGATTTTAAGGGTTATGATTATTCATGCCCACCTCTTTAGCACTTTAGCTGACACCTATTAGGACTATGTAATCATCCAAAAGTGGACCCGATTTTTCTGTCCAGCAAATACTCTTATCACAAGCGCACTAATGGCGCCGCTGATGGGCCAATCGGTAAGAGGCTGTTGTGATGTAAAGCTTATCTCCCTTCTTGATCTAATTTGCTGTAGGCAATCAATTTTTCATAGATCATAGTAATCCGTGGGCCACCCAATTTAACATTGCTTAGAAACAGAACGCCCACTCGTGATGGACAGCGTTGCCTTAACTATACAATCAGCCAAACAAACTAATTAGGTCAAAAACTTAAAATGTGGGGTTTCGTTTGTTTTTCTCCGATCACCATTTCAAAGTGCATGTCTGGACTATTTACTAGATCAAGCGATCGAGAAGGAGCAGATAA